TTGAGTAGATGATTGACTGAGTAAAGTTTCCCAGCAGTTGCGTAATATCTGACTATAAGTATCAATACTTTCACCTAAGTATTACTGGTGAGTATTTGGTCCATCGCCGTCTGTAACAGACATTACATCATAGCTTACGGTTGTATTATAACTTCCACAGTAAAGCTGCAACTAATGATTATTTTGCAAATTAATCAGTCAATTATTTTTTCAGTTAATCAGTCAATAATCGGATAGCCAAAGGGTCCTTAAGGAAGATTTTTTTACGAAATAAAAACGGGTGAAATTCAAACTTTTCCACTTAAAGTACTGGATAAAGAATACTTTTTTTAAATTTATTTTTATTTATTTATTTATTTTCCTACTTGCTTTGATTCTGTTTTATCTTCCTGTATTTTAATCATGTAAAGCACTTTCCATTGTCTTTGTACTGAATTGTGCTATACAAATACATTTGCCTTGCCTTGCCTTGCCTTGACGGATGAAACTGTTTTTATCTTAAATGCAAAATGGTTATATGTATTTTTATTTTATTTTTTACAATCTTGGTATAATTGCTGCTCTGTCAGCTGAAGGCATGTTTTACACTCTATACTCCAGTTAATGATTAATAGATTACTAAATTAGCTGAGGATTATTTCAATTATTAACTATTCAACCATTTAGTCCAGTTAATAAACGGAGATCGATGGATTTCGCTCAGTCGTCACTTTATGTTTGCAAAGAGAGAACCGTTCATCATACGGCTCTTATTGCACGGTAATCGTTCCTGTTCTGATCCAGCAGCGTTTGTGGAAATTAGTCAGAGTTAAAACAAATTATAGACACTTTAGTTAAACAGTAAAATGTTATGAATAAACCTTGAGAAAGAATCTGGTTTGTTATGGGAATAAGTGTCTGGTCCACAAACAGCCTCACTAAGGCAATGTGTGACTTTGCAGGTGAAACAGACTGAGTGAAAAACTCTATAGTGAGTAAATAATATATAAAATAAAAGAAACTAAATTCTTTTGACCACATAGATTAATCTGATAAATTTTTTCAGGCCTAATACAGATATGAAGGATTCAGCTATTCTGTAATCCATGCAGGTCTGATCAGGAAGCATCAGAATTGCTTCATCAGTAATAATCATCTTTGTAGGCAGATCATTTACCTTTTACTGACTTTTTAATTAATCAAAATACCAACATAAAGTTAAGCTGATCATTATTAAAGTGTGGTGTTCATGTTTGAGTGGCGTCTCTCACCCAGCAGGTTTTAGGGGCGTGGCTTAGCCTTTTGTGGCTCCTTCTTTCTCACCACAAAAGAACAAAAGTTTGTTTTTTGACCAACTTTATCATGTGATTATATTCTGATTTCATGGAAAACCATAAAAATATCTATTCTTCCATCATTATCCTACAGAAGAGGATTAGGGCCACTGAAAAAAAAAAAATAAAGTTAACTGATTTTTAAATTTTATTTCAGTTTAACATGAGAAAAAATCAGAATTCTGACTTTTTTTATTTTCAGACTTCAGTCAGAATTCTGAGATTAAAATCAGAATTCTGAGAAAAAAAGTCAGAATTCTGACTTTAATCTCAAAATTCTGACTTTTTTCCCCATACTAAACTGAAATAAAATGTAAAAATCAGATAACTTTATTTATTTTTTCCACTGGCCCTAATCCTCTTCCGTATTATCCAGTCATTTGTGCGAAGGCACAGAAAAAATAAGTCATAAAACAAATAAATGTGGAAAAAAGAAGTTTATTTTGAAATGTTGATCATTTGAAAAGTGGTTGCCGTTGTCGAACAGTTCTAATGATGAAAACCTTTTAACACAATACGTGAAAAAAAACAAAACAATTGACAATAATCCGATTTGAAATAGTCTTCATATCAAATATGTGTTGAGAAATGCAGAGTATTACAGTAAGCAAGTTGTCACCATTTTAACAGTTAAGGAAGCTTAAATAAATAAGGTGCCCACAAGATTTTTATCATTTCGTGTCCCTGTGACAGTTTTATACTCAAACACGTCTACTTTTCTTCCTGAGATTCTCTGTTTACATATTTTTGGTCTTCACCAAAAATAAAATCCTAACCAGACATCAGTGGCGTTTCTGTCCGATTATTTCTAACTTTTCAATAAATATGTAAACATGGCAGTTTAGTCTCTTTCTACTGCTTTAAGTACTGCAGACTGAAGGCACCCTAACAGCAATACCCCCGCTTTCATCCATGCGGACGTCTGTTAACATTTGGATTGGTTTTGGCGACAGATCGAAGCAGATTTAGGCAGTAGAGTGCTGTGAAAGTCTCTGACCCTTTTGATGAAATAAGACCCGCTACTTTGACGCATCTCTTAGAAAACCATCGATCCTACACGTATAAATAAAAAGCAGCGCGTATGGATCAACAGCGACACCTATGTACAGTATTTAATTCTTCTTTCACACATTTTCCTCTTAATTCCTTTGGCACACAGACAGCTGAAAGCTGGGTACCAGAGTCATCGTCCATTAACCGCAGTAGGAGCGTCTACGGCTCCAGATCAATGCCACCAGTCCTTTCCTATTACAGAAAATAATATACACACACATTTCCACATGGCTGTCAGCCTGTAACAGTAAATCTAATGCAGTGTGGTTCAATAATAAGTGTACAGAACGGAGCCTTTCAGGCACTTTGGTTAGCAACCTGGGCGGCTGCTACGGTTATGGGGAAAAAACAAAGCAACCTTTAGTTGCGTCAGAACGGTGTGGACGGAAATGGTTTCGTAAAGCAGCAGCCTGCTGTAGCACGTTTCCTACTGATGCTTTGGTTTGATGGAAATCTAACGTGAACTCCAGCTGCAACGTTTCCCTTTGAGCGTTGGTTTAGGAGAAGCTAGGCTAACTATTTACAGAAACATGTGGTGATTGTTGTGATATCCTCTATTTCCTCCCGTACATCCTTTCTATATCGGTCAGGTAGTGGTTTTTCAGCTCTTTCCTCTTCAACTTGAACGCGTCCGTGACGAGGCCGGTCTCTGGGGTCCACGGCTCGGGGCTCAGACGCACCTTCACTGGAACCTCAAATCGCTGGAGTTTAACTATTGAAAAGCAGAAAGAAGCAGAGTCAGAAAGTCTGTCAAGATATACAAAAATAAATAAATTAGAGAGGGAGAGAAAAGGGATTAGAGAATTTTAATCTGATCTGGAGCAATATTCTGTCTGGGTTCTGAGCAAGGCTCGTCTTTCTTATGTTACGTTCACACCGCACGCGCTTTAGGGAGCAGAAACCGCCACTTTACATGCAAAACCAATGGTTGACGCGCATCAAAATGTCCTGCAGCGCGTCTAGAGCAGGAGCAGCACATGTTGATGCATCTGAGGTGCGTAGCGCGCTTCAGCAGCAGCAGCTGCTGGAAGTGGAAACATTGAACTTTAGCTTCTGGACGCGCCGCATCAACCAATGAGAGAAGCTGATCTGGGAGCTGGTAGGGAGTCAGACGCAGCACTGCTGATGCAGAGCGCTATGATCACTCCTCTGAAACAGTTTATTAACGCCTAAATTAACTTAGAATGTAGAAACCTGCCAGCAGAATATGCTTGTGCATCATTATTAATCCCCATGAAACGATGCTTGTGCATCATTTCATGAGCATCACGCTGCTGTGCGTTATGCAGAAGTTAGAAAGTTCTGGACTCGTAATGAATACTCTAAAAAATCCATAGAATGTTGAGCGTATCCCAGCGTTTCAGGAGATTCTGGAACGTCAGTTCAGACGCTGGATAAATCAGCAAGGTGTGACCTCACTGGTGGCGAGTCTGACATATTGGAAAATTTGCAAATCTTCTTTCTAAAAAGAAGCTTATATTAGCAATATGCAAACAGCAACTTTTAACCAGAGCGTGCACAAGGAGAAATGGGCCCTTGCACGCCCTTGCACGCGGGCACAGGGTTGTGCATTGTGTTCTTTAATGTGCAGAGGGTGGGTCTTTTAAAAAAAAAAAAATCGTGAAAATATTCCAGTATACCTTTAAAGAGAGACTAAACTGGCTGCTGCAGCTCTCAGTCGGCCATTAAAATATATGCATGCTAACGTTAGCCTAGCACTTCAGCAAACTGCCAGTAGCGTGTTGAATCTGAACATCCTCAGGACATTATTTTAGCTTAAACAGAAACAAATGAACTTCAGAGACGGATAGAAACCGATTGAGGCGAGCAGACGATGAAAAGCGCGTTTCTATTTTTAGGTTTAGAGTTCAAAGCTCATCTGGTCACAGAATCGACCAAACATCCAGCAGTCGTCTCTCACTTTTAGCTGCGACCTCCTTGATCTCCTTCAGAACTTCTTTTTCCATTTCAGGGTGGTTGCAGAGCTCCTCCCATTTCCCCTCCACGCCTCTCTGCTTGGCGAGCTCCGTCAGCCTTTTCTGGTTGGGAACCACGAAGCTGACCACGTAGTTTTGGTCGCTACGGAAACGGAGGATAGAAAAGGGGTCAGTGTGAAGGAGTTTAATGTCTTTATAGTGATGACACAGAAAGAACAAACTTCCCCTTTCTTTCCCTTTCCTGGACAAGGATGTTTATTCCTACAGGACATCGCTGCCTTTTCATTTGCATTTACTAGCAGAGTCTATCTCCTCTACATCTATAAATATTTGAATATATGAAAGCGTCCTAACTGACAAACAGAGGAAGGTTGTTACCAGAGGAGCGGTTATAAAGGCTCATTCAGCCGTGTGTTCGATCCCAGCAGGTTCCGTGTTCTGGTTTTAATCTATGTTACCATTTCTACGTTAAGGTCTCCACTGCTTTACCTGATTTTCTCTCTACATCTTTAGAAGAAATCTAAAAGAGTAACTTTCTCTTAAAATAAGTGCATTTTTACTTTAATTGTGGAGGTAAGGGAGACACTTTGCTAATGGAACAAGACAATTTAAATTTAAAATTAGAAAAAAAAACCCACATTGTATTATTTCAAGTGAATAATTTCCAATTATTTTAATTTAAGAGTAAAAAAAACTCATTCCATTGGAAGATCATCTTATTTACCTGCTCAAATTAAGGGTAAATACACTTAATTTAAGAAACAGTGACTTATTTCTAGATGTTTTTTTTGCAGTGATGCTACGTTAAAGGTGAACTTCCTGGATCTATTAACCAGGAGAACATTTTTTAATCCAATAAAAAGCTTCTGTAACGAAGCGTGATGCTGTCAGACGCACTTCTGTGGCACATTTCCAAATATTTTAGAGCACAAGCAGCCGCATGTTTGTCTGAACTCGTTTGCTTTTATTAGAAACCTGAAGGTAGAGACGAGAACCCCCCCACCCCCCCCTCAGTGGGAAAGGAAATTATTCTGTTTTCTTATTTCAACTGTTGCGTATATTAGCTGCGACACATGAATCAAGATGCTATGACGGAAAACATTTGATTGACAGATAGAACTAACTGGCCTGCAGAAGATAATGGAAAAAAACACAGATTTTAAGACAGGATTTCTTACAGATTTTCATTATTTTATTAACTTTTTCTAAACTTCATGTTGATTTTTCCAAATTGCATTATTTTCAAATTGTGTTTAAAGATAACGTTGCATCGCTTTAAGTCCAATAGCAGGTTAAAAGAGACTTCTTCGCTTCTCCCTACTGAGGAAAATCTGCTTCCAGAAGTGAAACTAAACTGAATTGAAGAGAATCTAAGCTGTAAAACACAACATGAAAAGAATAGAATCTGTAAAACTGAATCTGAAAAAGAAATATGAAAAAAAGTAAAAAAAAAAAAAAAGAAATTTAAGACATTCAAATATGTTTTCCCTTCGACTTTAAAAGTCGAGGGAAAACAGAAGAGTCCAGTGGATTGTTTTTATTTTTTTTTGGAACATATTTATGTCGTTTTTATATTTGAGATGGAAAAAATAAAATGCTAAAGAAGTAAATCCTCACATTAAAAGATTTAAGTAAAACAGTCTTTATTTTTTATAATCAGTTATTGTACTTTTGGACAATCAGCTCCCGTCAGCTGTTGTGAAATTCTTGCATCCATGCCTCCTGTTTTTCCTCTCTTCATGTGAACATTTCAGCGCTCTAAGCAAGCAGTCCTGCTACCATTTATCTCTGAGCAGAGTTCAGTCAGGACACGTTTTACGAGATTAAGTCTACCGACCTGTTTGTGGTAAAGGCTCTAACGTATCAAACCCGTCAATCAAACATCTTGATTTCAGCCTCATTTGAATTGCCCGTCTCCGTCAGAGTGTTGGACCTGCAGGAATCCCAGCCATGAACTGGCTGCCACACTCACCTGTTAGCGTAAGCGCAGATGTTGTCGATCAGAGAACAGTTCTTCAGAGCAGATTCCACTTTGCCCAGAGACACGTACTCCCCAGCCTGCAGCTTCACCAAATCTTTTTTGCGATCTTTAAAAAAAACAAACAGAAAACAAAGTGGCATGAAACCTGAAAACCGAGACCTGAAGGCGTAAAATTGCCAGGAATAGTCATTCCAAAAAAGTTAACAATCAGCTGGACTTTGTTTCCCAGTTTGAAGACGTTTTTCTTCCATCCAGGAAGCTTTTTAATTCAAAATGTCAGAAATAGCGTTTAGTTCCAGGTTTTATCCAGCAGCCCAACAAAGCCTGGTTTTAGTTTAGAAAACATGCAAATAGAAACGGATGAACGGGTCCCCCCCTTTGGAATGGGGGCCATTTGGCTTCTTTGTTAGCCTGCAATACCTGTCTATGTCTCTGAAAGGGGGGGTCGTTGAAGGGAATAGTTGGCCTGGCTGAATAGGCTACTGTATAAAACCTGGAACTAAACGCTATTTCTGACATTTTGAATTGAAAAATCTTCCTGGATGGAAGAGAAAC